TTGTTACCAGGGGGGTCTGAATGGTCATTGTCTCTTGTGAAGTCGTGTCGTGAAATTGGGGCTCTTGGAGCAGAAGGAACAAAACGGGGTATAATGGTTGTAGTAGGGCAGTGTCATTGCCAAGGTGTCATCCAGCTGTGGGGTTAACTGGAACATTATGTTCGCAGCCCACAGGAAGGCTGTGGGTGTATGTGTGTGCGTGAGAGAGAGATTGCTCAAAGTAAAAAGCATTTTGCAAAGCCAAAGACAGATGAAAAATTGGCCTAGAACAAAAGAACAAGCCCACCTAATCCCAGACCTTCCCACATGTTCACAGGCTGAACTGGAGAGGTGAGCATGTGCATGGGCATGCACACCCGCATGCACCCCTACGTGTCGCCAGTGAGCATATGCAATGCACCTGATAGGAAATCTGTGCTGAAATGATGTCTGGGTCTTCTTGGAGTGTGAAGTCCAGCTGTCTGATCTGTCACTTGATCAAGTTCAAACCCTGGGTGGGTTGTCAAATAAACGAGGTCACGGAGTACCTGGGGTACACAGCCCCCCGGAGCCTCAACAGGGCAGCGCTCTCAGCACCTGCAGGGTGCAGCCCGCAGCTCAGCTTCACTCCAGAAGCACCTTGACTGCACATCTCCAGCCATGGGTCTTGGGTCCTGCCCAGCTGGTCTCTAGCACCATCTTGACCAGGTTTTCTGGATACCAAGCTCTGACTTGGCTCCACAATTGAGCTCCTCTGGCTCCCAGACCTTGACTGAACTCCTTTCCGTGGACTTGGACACTGGTTCTCCCCCAAGCACATGGTGGACACTAAACATATCACCCTCGAACTCCCATCTAATGCTTAGTTTCAGGTCTCCACGACCTGATGGGCTGGATCCAATCTACTTTGTTTGCTAGGACAAATCATCAGGCTATTTCCAGCCTTGCAGACTCACCCTGGCTAAACAACAAGTGCCTGGATTTTGGTGTCACCGTCCCCGTGGATCTCAGCTCTGCTCCCTTCCCCAGTGGCCCAGGTAAGGTCAGAGCCATCACCAACATGAACTCTGTATCTTCTAGCTGTTATCTCAATGAAACGGAGCGTTGTATTTCCGCAACATGCAAACATCCTGCAAAGTAACCAGGCAAGGGATCACTTTGTTCTGGGTTGATCCTCATCCTGTCTGCATACACATGCTGACAGAAAGCCCACAGATGTGGGTAAGGGAAGGGTCTGTATAAAGCTGAATGGTTCAAGACTCGGATTCCTACAAAATCACTGATTTCCTCATCAGATCACCTCTCTCTTCTCTCAAAGTGCCTTATTATAAGAGACCTGAAGAGGTGAAGTGACTTGCCCAAGGTCACACAGCAGGTCAGTGGCAGAACTAAGAATGGGATATAGGCCCCCGAATCCCAGCCGGCTCCCAGTATGACACCTCATCAGCAGGGGTGTCTCCTGGTTGTTCAGCTCCAGAACTTGTTTCCCTTCCAGTTTGATAGGACGGGAGCTTGCTGGCTGGCCTTCAAGGAATACAGCAAAGAGTAACTGTCCTCCCTGGCTCTGGGGAGAGGGATAATTTTGGAAAGGTCAAGAGTAGGAAATCCCATCCCTGAAAGTGCAAGTATTTATGTGAGAAATGTGAATCTGTTGAACGTGCTCAATAGAATCGAAACTAACTTTTTTGTTGTTGTTGAATCGACTGGTGGCAATTTCTGCAAAGCTTTATGCTGCAGATACATTCAGTGCTGGCCAGCCTGGCGTCCTTACTCACGCTTGTGGCTTGACTCACTTTATCGACAGCTGCATTTGGACAAATGCAACATTTTGTTCATTCATGTGCTGAGTGGTGACAGTAGCTGCAGAGCTCAGACTGAGGCAGGCCAAGCAGTGACTGGAGAGAGGAGCATTTGTAAATGCTGGCTACCACAGCATCACCCTTTCTGGGAAAGGCTGGGCTTCACCCCGGTCTTCACAGAAAGGCATTGCCTGTGTCTCACCTCTGCAACACAACCTTAACTCTGCCCCCACAGTCATTTCCCAATGTGCTAATAAATAACACACATACACCCTCTCCTTACAGGTGCCTATGAAGACAGTAGGAGAAGGGCTTTTTGCTAAGGCAGAACTTGGGTTTAGGTCAGGCCTAGCAAACAGGAGCTCCCTACACCTAGCCTGCACATGAATCCTGCTCCTGCTCTGCAGAATCAGTCCCAAAGTCATAACATGTCTGCTTCCTCACTTCCAAAAGTCCTGTCCCTTAACGATTCCAGCCCTGGGCTGCTCCCTTCTCCCCATCCCAAAGAGACTCATCACTTTTACTTACCTGCCTCTCCAACCCCAGAGACTCAGGCCATTCAAGCACAGGCAGCCTCCTTGAGAAGAAGCAGCTGCTGAACTTGGTACCGCACGGCTCATTCACTGTAACGTGATTGTCCACCTGCTCCAGCCAGTCAGTCTCTCCCCCATTCAGCAGCCAACAATGGCCATTGTCATGCATACAAATCAACAGGGCTGTATTAACGCATAGGCAAACTAGGCACATGCCTGGGGCCCTAAATGAAGAAGGGGCCTAGTTGTGCTTACTTTTTTTCACTCCATAATTATAACATGTAAAATAAGGGCCCACGAGTTTGTTTGTGTAGGGCCCGCTAAAGGGTTAATCCGGCCCTGCAGATCTATGCTGAAATGCAAATTATGGAAGGTCGGGCAAACAATGGAAACTTCTCCCAGTTCTCGGAGGTGTTTGCGTCCCTACACCTGGTTTCTGGCTCCCACAGCTCGAGGGGTCGAGGCTCAGTTTCTGTTGCGGGGGTGACGTGGAATGGATCTTAGCATCTCCTGGTTTTCAGAGGTTTGAATGTAGCCAAGTGTCATTGTGCTCTGAAGGGCACAAGACACCACAGGGCAGGCTTAATTTGGCATTTATGAAGTTTATAGCCCCGGCAAGCCAAAATCTATATTAAAGCGTGGGGAGATGCAAGATTTGTTCATCCTTATCTTTTTTTCGGATTGATGCTATAGTTGGGAGAGATGCTAGATAAGCTTTGGGGCATAAAATGCTTACACACAGGGCTAAGAAGCAGACATATCTTATCTGATGTCTCTCTCAAGAGTTGGTCCAATAAAAGACATCCTCCAGTAACTGCCATAGCTCCAGGATCACCACAGCTACAAGACTGCTTAAAAGTTTGGGGGCAGTTAACAAAAGAGGCAGTAACGAGAAGACTGATTTAAGGAATTAGGCAGGTGGAGCCATGTCATTGAGGGCAGCCCTGCCCAGCTCTTTCTGGGATGGGGGAAAGAAACCAGGGAGGTGGGGCTGTCTCCAGGGGTGGATCGGGGGCGGGGGGGGATAGTAGTACAGTTGTACCTTGCTTTGATTCCTCCTCTACCCAAAGTTTAAAACCACCTGCCTGGCAGTGGCAGCAGCATTTCTAGTCAGGCACTGCTGTAGGAGTCGCTTGATTTTGTGGCTTGCTATCATCTACCCGAGTCCTCCTCAACTCTTCATTCCACAAGCATTAAGGACCCTCTGTCCATTTAAATGGCCTTGATGTTCAACTGGACAAACTAGCCTTCCTTCTGCATTTCCACTGTGTGTTCCCTGCTCCTGGTAATGTAGCTCCTATTTCACAGCCCTACAGACCATGTTTAACTCTCGCTAAAAGCATTCACGCAGGTGTGGAAATAACTTCCCGCTGGAAGCACCATCAAGACGCTTCACCAGGCTATAATTTGTTTTATGAATCCGAACAAGAGATGTCCATTTAATTCTAATGCCTAACGAACCAACATCATCTGATTTATTTTTTTGCCTAGTTTGTTGTGGTTTTGTTATGCATAATACATGATATAGAAATCTGAATAATATGATTATAATTAAATCTTCTAGTGTATTTGGGTGTAACCAGCCCCTCCTGTCACATGTCAGGGTGGCTTTAAGCCTTTCTGGGAGGCACCGGGGGTTGGTTACACCCAAATACACTAGAAGATTTAATCATAAACTAGTGGCGTAGGTCTGTATTATTCAGATTGAGATCAGAGCAAAAAATATATATAAATGAATTGGAATGTGCGTTCATTTTCTATATCATGTATTACATGTAACAAAACCACAACAAACTAGGCAAAAAATAATCAGATAATGTTGGTTCATTAGGCCTGCAAAAACCTGGGGAATCCCCATAGCAGGACCTAGACATGGCTAGGCTAGATCATCCCCCGCCAGCGGCCGTCCCTCTTCTTGAACCCCTCCATGGATGGAGAGTCCAGCGAGGCCTTTGATGCCTCGTCCTCAGGGCCCAGGAGGCGATTTAGGCTGTGGGGGGAACAAGAAGGCGGCAAGGCTCTGAGGCTGAAGCCGGCTGGAGAAAGGCACCTGCCAGCCCCCTCCTCTCCGAGTTGCTGGTTCGAATCCCCTGGAGGTCACTGGCCTCCCGGAGCTGCTCCAGTCTTGTCCAGCGCAGCGGTTCTCAGCCCCCCCCAAAAGCAGGTTGTGGGAAGCAAACATTTTTAAAAAAACGGATTCTCCTTTAAAGGAAAAAAAGCAGGAGGGTTTCCCCTGGCGACCCGCACGCGGGGATGTCTGCACGCGGGTCCTGCGCCAGCAAGACCCAGCTCCAGGCGCAGGCGGCTGCCCTCCCGGCGGCTGCCGCAGGGGGCGCTGCCGCCCAACCCTCCTGGCGTCGTCCCCTCCCACCGCCAACATAGAGCCGAGAGGAAAGGGGGAGCTAGAGCGCCCTCCCGCGCGCGGCGGCCATCTTGGGTGCTGGCAAGCACAGCCTCCACGGCACAGCCAAGCCCAGAAGGGCCCCTCCTGGCAGAAGCCTGCTGCCAGGCGGAGATTCTGGGCGGCTCTCCACACCACTCCCCACATTTGGGGATCCACCGGTCCGCAGTGAGCTCCGTGCCCTCAGTCAAGATGGCGGCGGGGAGGCGTCGCGGAGAAGATGGCGGCGGGGAGAGGGCGGCGCTCTAG